GTAGGGCTTGGGGTGGGTTCTCGGTAGGGCTTGGGGCTGGGTTCTCGGTAGGGCTTGGGGCTGGGTTCTCGGTAGGGCTTGGGGCTGGGTTCTCGGTAGGGCTTGGGGCTGGGTTCTCGGTAGGGCTTGGGGCTGGGTTCTCGGTAGGGCTTGGGGCTGGGTTCTCGGTAGGGCTTGGGGCTGGGTTCTCGGTAGGGCTTGGGGCTGGGTTCTCGGTAGGGCTTGGGGGGTGGGTTCTCAGTAGGGCTTGGGGGGTGGGTTCTTGGTAGGGCTTGGGGGGTGGGTTCTCGGTAGGGCACGGGGTGGGCTCTTTCAGGATCGGGATAGGCTCTCGGGCTTGGGGAACCTCTGTAGGGCTCGGGGTAGGTTCTTGGTCGGGCTCAGGGTGGGTTCTCGGTAGGGCTCGGGGCGGGCTCCAGGTACTCAACTGACGGGTTCCAGTTCACTCAACTGGCGGGCTCCGGTTCACTCAACTGGCGGGCTCCGGTTTACTAAACTGGCGGGCTCCGGGTGTTTGACTGGTCGGGCTCCGGGTGGGTGACTGTTCGGGCTCCAGGTGGGTGTCTGTCCAGCTTCGGGTGGGTTCTTGGTAGGTATTAGGGCAGGGTTCTTGGTAGGGCTTGGGGGTGGGTTCTTGGTAGGGCTTGGGGGTGGGTTCTTGGTAGGGCTTGGGGGTGGGTTCTTGGTAGGGCTTGGGGGTGGGTTCTTGGTAGGGCTCGGGGGGGTGTGGGTTCTTGGTAGGGCTCGGGGGGGTGTGGGTTCTTGGTAGGGCTCGGGGGGGGGGGGGGGTGTGGGTTCTTGGTAGGGCTCGGGGGGGTTGGGTTCTTGGTAGGGCTCGGGGGGGGTGGGTTCTTGGTAGGGCTCGGGGGGGTGTGGGTTCTTGGTAGGGCTCGGGGGGGGTGTGGGTTCTTGGTAGGGCTCGGGGGGGTTGGGTTCTCTGTAGGGCTCGGGGTGGGTTCTTGGTAGGGCTCGGGGTGGGTTCTCGGTAGGGCTCGGGGCGGGCTCCAGGTACTCAACTGACGGGTTCCAGTTCACTCAACTGGCGGGCTCCGGTTCACTCAACTGGCGGGCTCCGGTTTATTAAACTGGCGGGCTCCGGGTGTTTGACTGGTCGGGCTCCGGGTGGGTGACTGTTCGGGCTCCAGGTGGGTGTCTGTCCGGCTTCGGGTGGGTTCTCGGTAGGGCTTGGGGTGGGTTCTCGGTAGGGCTTGGGGTGGGTTCTCGGTAGGGCTTGGGGCTGGGTTCTCGGTAGGGCTTGGGGCTGGGTTCTCGGTAGGGCTTGGGGCTGGGTTCTCGGTAGGGCTTGGGGCTGGGTTCTCGGTAGGGCTTGGGGCTGGGTTCTCGGTAGGGCTTGGGGCTGGGTTCTCGGTAGGGCTTGGGGCTGGGTTCTCGGTAGGGCTTGGGGGGTGGGTTCTCAGTAGGGCTTGGTGGGTGGGTTCTTGGTAGGGCTTGGGGGGTGGGTTCTCGGTAGGGCTTGGGGTGGGCTCTTTCGGGATCGGGATAGGCTCTCGGGCTTGGGGAACCTCTGTAGGGCTCGGGGTAGGTTCTTGGTCGGGCTCAGGGTGGGTTCTCGGTAGGGCCCGGGGCAGGCTCCAGGTACTCAACTGACGGGTTCCAGTTCACTCAACTGGCGGGCTCCGGTTCACTCAACTGGCGGGCTCCGGTTTACTAAACTGGCGGGCTCCGGGTGTTTGACTGGTCGGGCTCCGGGTGGGTGACTGTTCGGGCTCCAGGTGGGTGTCTGTCCAGCTTCGGGTGGGTTCTTGGTAGGGCTTTGGGTGGGTTCTTGGTAGGTATTAGGGCTGGGTTCTTGGTAGGGCTTGGGGGTGGGTTTTGGTAGGGCTTGTGGGATGGGTTCTCGGTAGGGCTTGGGGGGTGGGTTCTCAGTAGGGCTTGGGGGGTGGGTTCTCGGTAGGGCTCGGGGTGGGCTCTTTCGGGATCGGGATAGGCTATCGGGCTTGGGGAACCTCTGTAGGGCTCGGGGTAGGTTCTTGGTCGGGCTCAGGGTGGGTTCTCGGTAGGGCTCGGGGCGGGCTCCAGGTACTCAACTGACGGGTTCCAGTTCACTCAACTGGCGGGCTCCGGTTCACTCAACTGGCGGGCTCCGGTTTACTAAACTGGCGGGCTCCGGGTGTTTGACTGGTCGGGCTCCGGGTGGGTGACTGTTCGGGCTCCAGGTGGGTGTCTGTCCAGCTTCGGGTGGGTCCTTGGTAGGGCTTGGGGTGGGTTCTTGGTAGGTATTGGGGCTGGGTTCTCGGTAGGGCTTTGGGCTGGGTTCTCGGTAGGGCTTTGGGCTGGGTTCTCGGTAGGGCTTGGGGGGTGGGTTCTCGGTAGGGCTTGGGGGGTGGGTTCTCGGTAGGGTTTGGGGGGGTGGGTTCTTGGTAGGGCTTGGGGGGGTGGGTTCTCGGTAGGGCTTGGGGGAGTGGGTTCTCGGTAGGGCTTGGGGGGGTGGGTTCTCGGTAGGGCTTGGGGGGGTGGGTTCTCGGTAGGGCTTGGGGGGGGTTCTCGGTAGGGCTTGGGGGGGTGGGTTCTCGGTAGGGCTTGGGGGGGGTGGGTTCTCGGTAGGGCTTAGGGGGGTGGGTTCTCGGTAGGGCTTGGGGGGGTGGGTTCTCGGTAGGGCTTGGGGGTGGGTTCTCGGTAGGGGTCGGGGTGGGCTCTTTCGGGATCGGGATAGGCTCTTGGGCTTGGGGAACCTCTGTAGGGCTCGGGGTAGGTTCTTGGTCGGGCTCAGGGTGGGTTCTTGGTAGGGCTCGGGGCGGGCTCCAGGTACTCAACTGACGGGTTCCAGTTCACTCAACTGGCGGGCTCCGGTTCACTCAACTGGCGGGCTCCGGTTTACTAAACTGGCGGGCTCCGGGTGTTTGACTGGTCGGGCTCCGGGTGGGTGACTGTTCGGGCTCCAGGTGGGTGTCTGTCCGGCTTCGGGTGGGTCCTTGGTAGGGCTTGGGGTGGGTTCTTGGTAGGTATTGGGGCTGGGTTCTCGGTAGGGCTTTGGGCTGGGTTCTCGGTAGGGCTTTGGGCTGGGTTCTCCGTAGGGCTTGGGGGGTGGGTTCTCGGTAGGGCTTGGGGGTGGGTTCTCGGTAGGGTTTGGGGGGGTGGGTTCTTGGTAGGGCTTGGGGGGGTGGGTTCTCGGTAGGGCTTGGGGGAGTGGGTTCTCGGTAGGGCTTGGGGGGGTGGGTTCTCGGTAGGGCTTGGGGGGTGGGTTCTCGGTAGGGCTTGGGGGGGGTTCTCGGTAGGGCTTGGGGGGGTGGGTTCTCGGTAGGGCTGTGGGGGGTGGGTTCTCGGTAGGGCTTGGGGGGTGGGTTCTCGGTAGGGGTCGGGGTGGGCTCTTTCGGGATCGGGATAGGCTCTCGGGCTTGGGGAACCTCTGTAGGGCTCGGGGTAGGTTCTTGGTCGGGCTCAGGGTGGGTTCTTGGTAGGGCTCGGGGCAGGCTCCAGGTACTCAACTGACGGGTTCCAGTTCACTCAACTGGCGGGCTCCGGTTCACTCAACTGGCGGGCTCCGGTTTACTAAACTGGCGGGCTCCGGGTGTTTGACTGGTCGGGCTCCGGGTGGGTGACTGTTCGGGCTCCAGGTGGGTGTCTGTCCAGCTTCGGGTGGGTTCTTGGTAAGGCTTGGGGTGGGTTCTTGGTAGGTATTAGAGCTGGGTTCTTGGTAGGGCTTGGGGGTGGGTTCTTGGTAGGGCTTGGGGGTGGGTTCTTGGTAGGGTTTGGGGTTGGCTCCCGGTCAGGCTCGGGGTGGGCTCTTTCGGGATCGGGATAGGCTCTCGGGCTTGGGGAACCTCTGTAGGGCTCGGGGTAGGTTCTTGGTCGGGCTCAGGGTGGGTTCTCGGTAGGTCTCGGGGCAGGCTCCAGGTACTCAACTGACGGGTTCCAGTTCACTCAACTGGCGGGCTCCGGTTCACTCAACTGGCAGGCTCCGGTTTACTAAACTGGCGGGCTCCGGGTGTTTGACTGGTCGGGCTCCGGGTGGGTGACTGTTCGGGCTCCAGGTGGGTGTCTGTCCGGCTTCGGGTGGGTTCTTGGTAGGGCTTGGGGTGGGTTCTTGGTAGGTATTGGGGCTGGGTTCTCGGTAGGGCTTTGGGCTGGGTTCTCGGTAGGGCTTGGGGCTGGGTTCTCGGTAAGGGCTTGGGGCTGGGTTCTCGGTAGGGCTTGGGGGGTGGGTTTTCGGTAGGGCTTGGGGGGTGGGTTCTCGGTAGGGCTTGGGTGGGTGGGTTCTCGGTAGGGCTTGGGGGGGTGGGTTCTCGGTAGGGCTTGGGGGATGGGTTCTCGGTAGGGCTTGGGGGGGGTGGGTTCTCGGTAGGGCTTGGGGGGGGTGGGTTCTCGGTAGGGCTTGTGGGGGTGGGTTCTCGGTAGGGCTTGGGGGGGTGGGTTCTCGGTAGGGCTTGGGGGGGGTGGGTTCTCGGTAGGGCTTGGGGGGGTGGGTTCTCGGTAGGGCTTGGGGGGTGGGTTCTCGGTAGGGGTCGGGGTGGGCGAAACACAGTAGTGACCTCTATCGGCACGCAGGTGAACCAACAATTTTCTTCCTAAGTATACCTTATTGAATCGCACCTAAGCATCTTCTTAGGGCGCACTTAGGAACCTTCGTAGCAAACCCACTTACGAAGAAATACACAGAGCTTCCTGAATCTAGGTCCAGGAGACGATGTTGTTGTTGTGTTGATTTAGGGGCAAGGGAACAGGTCACATGTAACACAAACAAGGAACAACGGTTTCAAACTCGACAAATCACAATGTAGGACCGAAAACGGGAGATGCCCTTTCACCCAGACACCCAATAGGTTTTAATTACAGTAATTGGATCCATGGAACCGCCTACCTTCCAAGGCCGAAAATAGCGAAACTTAATTTTTTAAAACTATCAGGAAAAAATCATATATATATATATATATATATATATATATATATATAATATATATAATATAATGTGTGTGTGTGTGTGTGTAAAAGTAAAACTTTATGATTATTTTCATAAAGATGGACTGGACGAGCGTATTTACACTCAGGGTCTCTGTGAGTGTGTAAGCTCCAGAATAAACATTTATTTATATGGTCCTTGTCCAGCTGGTCACTTGGTGCAGCGCAGACAGCGGTGAGTGCCAAAGAAAGTATTTATTAAATGTCACGAAAATATTTCCTTTAAATCCGGAAAGTGGATAAATCTGAGGGTACTCAAGCTGTGAGTTACGTGTGCGTCACTGTCATACGTGAATGTGTGCTGGGGGTGAGTGGGTGTGATGCAGTCATTGAACTGTCACTTCCTTACCACAGCTCCACTCATGGGGGGGGGGGGATTGAAGAATCATTACCTTTTCTCAATGATACAATCAGCCTTTAGGTGACTGATCAACAAACCTTCCTGCTTGCCTCAGCCTGCCAACCCGCCTGGGCCTACCTGTCCATCATGCCTGCTCCAAGCTGGCCTGGCTCCCAGCTAAACACTTGCTCACCCTCCCACCCATCCTCCCTTCCACTTACCCACATACTCGCCCTCCCATCCCTCCTCCCTCTCACCTATCACCCTATCATAACATACAAGTACAGTACAATACAATTTGAAGACAAAATTATTTTTGTATATGAACTTGACAGCTGGAGAGTTTCATATTGTGTTCACAGGCCTGTATACAGTGCCTTCACAACTCTATGTTAATGGGTGACATCTCAGTTGTGGTGTATCTGCATTGATACATTTCATGTAATTATGAATATAAAAGTATATATAGGTTTGTAAGCTATCCATTGCGTATATGTTTAGCATGAGTTTATGGTATTTTATGAATTTAAATTAATGGATGAACTCACATTTTTGTCAGTGTCAGCCTATGAAGTTCTCTATGTTCACACCCACAAATTGAGTGAAACAACTAGGTATATCTTCCTTATTTAACTGGATATTTGTAAACCGAATTGGGTTTTTATGACAAGCCGGTGGGGGGGGGGGACATGGTATTTCTTTGTAAACTAGGCTAAATCTAATTTGAAAAACACTGATACCATGTGCTTGTAAGTGTAAATACAATAAAATCTCAGTTATCCAAAATACTTTTGTTATTTGAAGGTCTGAATAAGTAGGAGGGAGCTATCTCAGTGAGCTAGATTTAAGGAGTCTATGAGGCCCTACCAGAAAGAGGCATTTCATTACATTCAATGATGGTTTATTTATCATTTTAATTTTGTTTAAATAATAATTATTAAAGCCTTAAATATAACTTTTCATTCATTTTCAGAACCATTTCAAGAAACATGCCAGATCGCCGACGTCAACGCCAGCAGCGTGTTCGTCATGATGCTGGTGGTAAGATATAATGTCTTTCGATTATTATTTTGATGATGTACTGTACTGTACTGTATTGTAAATGCATATACCATAGGCAACAGAACACCGACTCAAATGGAATTTGGTATACCAGAAATAATATCCCATTGTTGGGGAAAGGAGGCTTGTTATGAGATTTAGGAAAGACGTGGGTAAATTCTGGTTCGGTAACAGGGTTGTTATGTGGAACCAATTACCATGTAACATAATAGAAATAGGATCCCTTGATTGTTTGAAGCGTAGGTAAGACATATATATATATATATGAATGAGATTGGGTGGATATGAATAAGAGCTGCCCTGTTTGGGCCAATAGACCTTCTGCAGCTATCTTCATTCTTATGTTCTCATGCTTATTGAGGTTCCATTAGCCAACGACTGGCTTTTTCTTGAGAAGCAGCTTGCATCAGTAGACTAACTCCCAGATACCTATTTAATATTAATTTAACAAAGACATAAGGACTCAAACCCAGGACCAATATGTTAAAAAATTTTTCCTAGCTTCTTTAAAAATTAAATTTTCAAACATTTTATCTTGCGTATCACATACATCACATATATTCAAATTAATTTGTACTCTTAAAATAAACTCTTAAAAATTTTAACCAAACTAACTTGGTAACCTTATTTAACCAAAATAGCATTTAAATTATTCCTATTATTCCTTAAAGGTCATATGTATGTATGTATGTATTAAAATGTAAAATTTGATTTAAATTTAGATGCTTTATACCTGCATCAAGGAGATCTATAGTTATTAAGAACACATAAGAATGGCTAGACAGAAGTGTAAATAATTCACACAGTAACGCTACAGAAAGTTTATTCAACTCAAGGAAAGGCACTTCTGGTTCAACATTGATGACAAGTGGACATCTGGATTCCCAATCTGCTTGGGGACTGCCAGCTAACAAAGCAATTATTGCCCTTTGGGTCAAGATACTGTTGTCTGGCATTCCTCTTCAACAGCATGCTTTCAGATGTCTTAGTGTCCTTGTCACCTGGGGTCACAACAGGGATGTTAATAGATTTTACTTTTGTTTTCTGGTTGGCTCTTCAAGCAGGGAGATGGTGCCCAGCACGGTCTTGGTCAGGCATCAGGATTTAGCAGATTTTGGTGAACTCCTGGTGTGCCCATGGGGTGTGGAGGGCATCTGGCTCCTGCTTTGCCATATATCACTGGAAGACCTTGCTGAATTTTGCCTGATTGGGTTTATAGAGTTTTAGAGGAGCATTTGTGATTTTGCTATTTGGTATCAACTTTGACTACCCAGAGTTCACAGGATGTCTGACATATTATCATCTGGGGGGTCACAAGTTATCCATAGATAGTCTGCTAGTTGGTTCTCCGTGTGGGGTGTGGGTCTGGCACTTGCCTTCTCAGTGGATGCCACTAAGCACCTGCATTAGTATGTTTATCTGTTGTAAGGTGCAGCAGTTTTAACACCAACAGGCAACATTTTTACACCACTGGGCTTTTGAGTTTGAACACATTTGAACGGTAAACTACAGGTGGCCCTATTTCTTGGCCACCTGATTAAAGTAAATGATGGCCCTAATGTTTTGGTGGACTAGACAATGAGCCTTGAATAAATAGTAATTAGGACATCTACTCTATCCATCATCTCCATTTATCAATATTTACTAATTGATAGTTTAATCATAAGAACCCACAGCCACCACTGCAATATAAATACAGTAGTAAGTATTTATTAGCTCATAATGAATGCTTTTGCAATGAGTCCTTCAATTAGTAAATTCAATTTCAGAGTATGTTTTGTCATGAACCCAATGTTATCTATAATAGCCTCTGCTTCCCACTACTTCTTGGGTTGTGTTTGTGTACAGCTGAAGGCAAGTCAGCATGCAAGCTAATCTTAAATCAATATTGGTAAACATAAGGGTACTTATCAGCTTAATTTTCACTTGTTTGAGATCTAGACTGTTCAGTAGGATCTTCTCCAACATTTGATTTAAGTATATTTTGGTTTAGTAATATTTATTACAAATTTTGTTCATTTCTTCTCTCTAGGTAACCAGCCTTCAGTGGGGGACAGTAATAGGGAGCCAGAAGTAGGGAACACTCAGCCTGCTAAAGTTCAAAGACCAGCGGGAAGTGGTGTGGCTTATGCTGAACCAAAAGAGTACGAGTCTGGTAAGTTTGTAATTATTGTTTATAACAGCTTCCATAGTTCATTAATCTTCCATAGCTCATTATATAAATATATATATATAAAAATATATATAAAATGGAATGGCTGTCTAAGGCTGGATGCCAGGTGTTTGGGGCCCATCCAAGGCTTCGATGCCCCCCCTTTAAGAAGGATAAACTCCTGATTTGAATCCCAGTGACTCCTATGAAGTCTGAAACTAGGGTTTTGTTTTACATATGGTTTTTCAACAACTATTCAGCACTTTATAATATCCCAACTTACACAACATTTTTAAATTACATTCTTAGAGAGTGAGAGTGAGTGTGTGAGTGTGTGAGTGTGTGAGTGTGTGAGTGTGTGAGTGTGTGAGTGTGTGAGTGTGTGAGTGTGTGAGTGTGTGAGTGTGAGAGTGTGAGAGTGTGAGAGTGTGTGTGTGAGAGTGTGTGTGTGAGAGAGAGAGAGTGTGTGTGTGAGAGAGAGAGAGTGTGTGTGTGAGAGAGAGAGAGTGTGTGTGTGAGAGAGAGAGAGAGAGAGTGTGTGTGTGAGAGAGAGAGTGTGTGTGTGAGAGAGAGAGTGTGTGAGAGAGTGAGTGAGTGAAAAAGAGTGTGTTTAATTACCTAAGTGTAATTACTAAGTGTGTGTACTCACCTAGTTGTACTCACCTAGTTGTGCTTGCGGGGGTTGAGCTCTGGCTCTTTGGTCCCGCCTCTCAACTGTCAATCAACAGGTGTACAGGTTCCTGAGCCTATTGGGCTCTATCATATCTACACTTGAAACTGTATATGGAGTCAGCCTCCACCACATCACTTCCTAATGCATTCCATTTGTCAACCACTCTTACACTAAAAAAGTTCTTTCTAATATCTCTGTGGCTCATTTGGGCACTCAGTTTCCACCTGTGTCCCCTAGTGCGTGTGCCCCTTGTGTTAAACAGCCTGTCTTTATCAACCCTGTCAATTCCCTTGAGGATTTTGAATGTGGTGATCATGTCCCCCCTAACTCTTCTGTCTTCCAACGAAGTGAGGTTTAATTCCCGTAGTCTCTCCTCGTAGCTCATACCTCTCAGCTCGGGTACTAGTCTGGTGGCAAACCTTTGAACCTTTCCATTTTAGTCTTATGCTTGACTAGATATGGACTCCATGCTGGTGCCGCATACTCCAGGATTGGTCTGACATATGTGGTATATAATGTTCTGAAAGATTCCTTACACAAGTTTCTAAAGGCCGTTCTTATGTTAGCCAACCTGACATATGCTGCTGCTGTTATCCTCTTGATATGAGCATCAGGGGACAGGTCTGGCGTGATATCAACCCCCAGGTCTTTCTCTCTCTCGGACTCTTGAAGTATTTCATCTCCCAAGTGTGTGTGTGTGTGTGTGTGTGTACTCACTCATTTGTACTCATTTAGTTGTGTTTGCGGGGCTTGAGCTTTGTCTCTTTGGTCCTGCCTCTGAACCGTCAATCAACTGGTGTACAGATTCCTGAGCCTACTGAGCTCTATTATACTTATATTTGAAACTGTATATGGAGTCATCCTCCACCATATCACTTCCTAATGCAATCCATTTATTAACTATTATGACACTGAAAAAATTCTTTCTAATGTCTCTGTGGCTCATCTGGGTACTAAGTTTCCACCTGTGTCCACTTGTTCGTGTTCCACCTGTGCTGAAGATTTTGTCATTGTCCACCCTGTCAATTCCCCTGAGAATTTTATAGGTGGTTATCATGTCTCCCCCTCTGTTTTCCAGGGACATGAGGTTCAGCTTCTTTAACCTTTCCTTGTAGCTCATTCCTCTCAGTTCTGGAACGAGTCTGGTGGCATACCGTTGAATCTTCTCTAACTTTGTCATGTGTTTAACTAGGTATAGACTCCAGGCTGGAGCTGCATACTCCAGGATTGGTCTGACATAAGTGAAATACAAGGTCCTGAATGATTCCTTACACAAGTTTCTAAAGGCAGTTCTTATGTTGGCCAATCTATCATATGCCGCTGATGATATCCTTTTGATATGGGCTTCTTGGGACAGGTTCGGTGTGATATCAACCCTAAAATATTTCTCTCTATTTGACTCTTGCAAGATTTCACTTCCCAGATGGTACCTTGTGTTCAGCCTCCTGCTCCCTCCATCTAATTGGGAAAACATACACACACACACACACTCCGTGTGTGTGTGTGTGTGTAATTACCTAAGTGTAGTTACAGGATGAGAGCTATGCTCATGGTGTCCCGTCTTCCCAGCACTCTTTGTCATATAACCACATATGTCATATGACACACACATGTATGACATATATGTCATACACATGTGTGTGTGTGTGTTTATTATTAAATCTGGATTGAATTTAATAGGTTGAAATGTATTGTATAAGAAAATGTTGCAATTTGAAAAAAATATATATATAGTATATGTTTTTTTTTGCAGTAACAATTATGCCAGATAAGGAAGTGGCTGAACCTCAAACATATCGTAGACGAGAGGTCATAAGCAATTGGTCTCGATATGAGGAAATATCAACAGATGAGCCAGAAGAAGGGGAGGACTATCTGCTTGGTGAAGACTTCTCTCAAATCTTAGAACAGCAAGGTAAGCTTAGATCTCATATTTACACACGGTACAGTATCTGCATTTTATTTTTTGTGTTATGAGTGATGGCAGTTTGTTAGAAGAGTAGGAATTTTAGTTTGATGGTACTGTACTCATGAAGTGCTGTACAGTTCATCTAATCTGAAAGATGAGATACTGGTGTGGTACTATAGTAATGCAGTTGTACTAGTGTTGTGGGATGCTGTCAAGTGTGGAAGCATGACAAAAGGATGGGGTGATCTTTTTCCTGAAATGATTATTCATCCTTGCCATTCTTTCTCTTATCTTATAAAACCAGCCAAGTGGATTAAGTTACACCACATGAGTTCAGTTAATTGGAGTAGGTATCACAATATGAAATCAATACATAACTCCATATACTGCAAAACCCTTGATTCACACAATATGAAATCAGTATATAATACCATATCAAATCATTTTTCCTAAAACTATAAATTATTATACAGTATGTCAACTTTGTTTCATGTTGGCATACTGTATTTTTGTTTGTTGATATATAATCTCTGCAATATTAAAAACCCTAATTAATCCTCATGTATTTTAGCAAATTCTGGAGGTGGGCACTTGCGATTGAAGGGGGAGTCTTTGTGGAATGAGACAGAGACTGGCATCCTCACCTCACATGGTTTGGGAGCCCTGCATGTTGCCGACCTTGTTGCTTCTATCAACACTGTTCCACTTTATACACAGCTCAACATACCAGAAGAGTCACTCCCAGTAAGTTATTTATTACGTATATTCAGTATAGTAATTATATTTCACAGATACTTTTATTTATAATTATATATTTTACAATTACTGTATATAATTTATAATAACAATTTTTTGCATGGAAAAAATAGACTAACTTATTTCTTAGTAAGGACATTCAGAAATTTCTAAACTTTGAACAACTCAAGGATAAGTTACCATAGTTTGTTCCCATTACTAAAATGGAGCAGGGAGCTCATGGAAGAGTGCAATTTAAAAGCCTACAAAGCAGCTGCACACTATAACTCCCAAATCCTTCAAACCACTCAAAACTCCCAGTAGACAGTTCTTTTAATTGTAAAAATTGCCAAGAATTATTCTGAGACTACCAAAACACTGGTCAACCAACTAACCTAGCTGCCATGAGGTGGTAGCCCAGCTAAATTCCAAGAATGGAGAAGTTGGCCACCTCACTTTGAGCATAGCATCTGACTTGACAACATTTCTTGCTCAATAGAGGCTGCTTTTAAGTCAGTTTGGTTATTTTTAGAAAGACTCAGTCTTAGGGGTTCCACGAGTTACTGTTCACTTCTCAGTGTAGTAAACATTTTGTTTGTTTTCATCTGATATTACAATCTTCTTTGGCTTTTGTTTGAGAGGTTTCTCCTCCTTGCCACTGATTTTGAGAACCAACTACCAGTGGCTATCATTTCTGAGGTTGTTGAAGTTTACTCCGCTGAGTCAACTCTCGAGTCAGGCATGTGGATTGCCAGTCCATTTAGTGCATTTATAACAATACAGTGTGACCACAATTATTTAAGAGGTAAATATTTGTCACTTCCTTTTTGTTTTGGTATTTAAGACAAGTGTGCTAAAAATACCTGTAATTGTATTTAATAGGAATGGCCAATGTATATGCAAGAAACAAATGGTTTTCTGTAGGGCATTCCAGTGGCTTCCTAAAGCTATCTTGCTGAAATTGCTCCATACTACAATGTTACATCAGTTGCGGAAGTTATGTTTGTCCTACCGGGAATCAGGGCCAGAACCAGGCCCCCCCTTTCATAGAGGTACAGGGAGCACGTGACAATCTACCACCCAGCTAGAAAAAACTCCAAAAAGTCAGTGAATCTTTACAGACAACCGGAGGATTCACAGAAAACAAAGCTGCAAAATTGCCAAAAAACTAAGCAAACAATTCATACACTTCAAGGGATTCTCTCAAACTAGTTGGAAACTCATTAGTATTGATTACCACTACCATGCAGCCTGGCCCCAGCCAATGCCCCATCTCAGTTTTGTTGCTGATTATGCAGTGTGTGAAGCTGCCTGTAGTGTTCCAGCCCATCAGTTTGTGCAAACCCTCAGTTTCATGCCAGATGTATGTTGACTTCTTTGCCTCTTTGATTGTCACACCAACACTCACAATTCTTCATGAAGTGGGTTAAGCAGTACTCTTGTATTCAATGTTAATAATGTAGTAGACAAAAATTGTGCATGTGTCCACTCCTTACTAACATATAGGATAATACATTCATGGTGTCTGAAGTGATATATCTTGACCAAAAAGTGATTTAACTACACAATTATCTGAATACCTGGTGCAAATGCCATCATTTGTCCTGCTCTCTCCGGTAGTTGCCTTCCACAAGTAGCATCCAAAACAGTTTGTTGGTTCAAGTCTTGGTTGGTCATGTCTGGTATGAATACCATAACTAAAAAGAAAGTATTAGATGTCAAATATATTCTGTATACTGATAGAGATAAAATATATTGACAGCTGTAGTGAGAGAATTTTTATTAATGCAGTTTTTCCTTCCAGGAATCGGTTATTGAGTTTTATACACAGTTAGCTGATGACAATAGGAAGCTCTACCAGCCCAGCAACAGTTACAGTGACTGTCTTGATATTAATGATAAAATCCTCCAAAGTTTAAAAATAAGTGACACTGAGCCACTGGACTTGGTCAATGAGGATCTTGAGACCAGTCAGTGCACAAAGAGTGCAATAGATGTCGCCTTATCACTTACTAGTGCCTTTGCCCCAGAGCCTGAGGATGTTGACCTTGACACACTGTTACATGAACCTACTGTAGAAAATCCAAGTCCTGTTCATCAACCCAGTCCAGTGAAGGAGCCCAGTCCAGTGAAGGAGCCCAGTCCAGTGAAGGAGCCCAGTCCAGTGAAGGAGCCCAGTCCAGTGAAGGAGCCCAGTCCAGTGAAGGAGCCCAGTCCAGTGAAGGAGCCCAGTCCAGTGAAGGAGCCCAGTCCAGTGAAGGAGCGCAGTCCAGTGAAGGAGCCCAGTCCAATGAAGGAGCCCAGTCCAGTGAAGGAGCCCAGTCTAGAAAAGGGAGCCTCTCTTGAAAAGCAGCGCATTCCAGAAAAGCAACGCAATACACAAAAGAAACGCAATCCACAAAAACAGCCCAGCTCTGAAAAGCAACTTAGTCCGGGAGATCAGCCCTGTCCACAAAAAGAGCCCAGTCCTGTTAGTAATAGGCAGCCTACACCTGTCAAAGAAGTGCCCAGTGAACCTAGCAAATCTGAAGATGTTAAGGAAGCTAGACAACCTAAAGTTCGTAAACAGAAAGCAAATTCTCAGAAGGATAAAGCTAAAGAAAAGAGCCCAACAAGCTTTGAGTTTGGTCTTTCAAAGACGGCTATGAATGATGTTAAACCTTCAGCAGAATTTAACTTTGGTTTAGCTAAGGCAGATGTTTCTTCAAATCCAAAATCCAGCAAGACAAATAAGAATGTAACAAACAATGTGCCATTAGATATTTTAAATCTGCAGGAACCAGAAACAACTGAAGAGTTACCTGAAGGTCCCACTATAGACCTGGATGCACCAGTTGAGCCAAGTAAACCTGTATTGCTAATAAGCAAAACCGAAGCAGAAGATCTTGAAGATTGGCTCGACTCTGTATTGGACGATTAATGTATTTATTCTGGATAATTGTAACCCTCGTATCTTTATCAAGAGTATTTAATCTGTAACATATTGTCATTAGGAAAGTGTGTTCATCTTGTATAGTTGATCATCATACAAGGCTTGTGAATATTACTGCACAACACTAAGATTAAATAACCATCCTGCCACTTAGTACGTGGTCTGCTAAATGTTAATTTATATATGTAAGTTGTTTTGCGTGGTGTCCTAGTGCTGTATTCTACTTTTTTATATATTCTGTAATGGAAAATTAAGTCATACAGATGGCAAGTGAATTGCCTGGTATTGGAATATGTGGATTCAGAACAGTGCATGTAAGCACTTTTATATAACGTTATAAAGTGTATAGGTGAATTTCAGAAATAAGCAGCTTGAGAATGGATTAATGCAGATTATTAGTAAGCACCCCAATCTTTCTAGATTTTATTGTGCTAAATTTGTGGCTGAAAAGCAGGTGGGGTATTAAATAATAAAACTTTTGCATTCTGATGCTAAAACGCATCATTTGTACTTCAACATTAAACGTTTCGATGACGCTAAAACACGTCATCCTATTGCTATTCATATATTCATGACTGTTATACATAATCTATTATGTTTTGTATATACAGTATTCTCTAGATAATTCACTTGCAAACATTTTGACACCAAATTTATAGTTACAACCCAATGAATACCTTAAAATATTTACAGTCATTTTATGTTTTTTTAAGAATCGCCGAGCGGAGCGTGCCAAGCCCACTAGCATATGGTCAGGAATAATTAAAGAGGAGCATAATATACTATAAATGCATTTTTGTTTTATTATTTTTCCACCTGTTTTCTAGATAATTCATTTGCAAACATTTTTATACCTAATTTATAGTTATAACCCAACAAATAACTAAGAAAACATAAAATGATTGTAAATAATTTTTTTTTTATTTCTAAACACCCCGGGAAGCCCAGAACATTTACGATGGGGTAACACACAGAGAGGCTAGACTGCCCAAGTGTTAAAATAGGTGCTCTGTTGAGTAAAAGTTGATAAAAGTAAACTTTTAGAGGTTTCAGAGGCCTACCCCAATTTTTCCCATGACCCTTTAGGTTTTCATGGTTTACAGAAGCAGAACCCTTGTGTAAATGAAGGGCTACCTGTACACTTGCTTGATGGAATGTTTTCCTAACTGTTCATTATTTAACATTTTTAGTTCAAAATACAGTACTGTATAGCATCACCCCATCAACAGGGTGACCCACTAAAGGGCCAACATGAACCCCGAGTAGCCAAATGCAGCACAGAGCGAACATCGTGCCGACCATACAATAAAGGCCCCAGGAAACCCACAGACACAGAAACTGGCAACAAAGGCCGACCCAGACCAACAGCAGCCCGAGCCCTGGCACGACCCAATCGAGAGAACTTGGAATGGCCTCCCCATCCCCCTCCTCCCGGAGCACCAACAAGTCCGAAATAGGACGACAACTGGCCAAAGCTGCCAACAGAAACTGGGCAAACACGTCCTCTGGTAACAATAGAGGACAGAATGGCAAAGGAGACTACAGAGCCATTGCCCAAGCCGAATCCAAAGATGGAGCCAGACAACCTGCTGACATGTGAGACGAGAGGAGAAAAACATGGAAATTTCCTCTTCGAAGATCTGCACAAATAGCTTTCGAAACCAGAACCCCAGCCGAAGGCCCCCTCACTCAACGCCCCCACATCCTCCAAAGACAAGTTCAGAAGATCGAAGGAGCGCAAGACTGAGGCCAAATGACTGCGAATCTGTCATTTGGTCTCCATCATATGATTTGGCATTACGTTGAAGATTTCCAAGTGGATTGATTGATTAGCCTGAAACAGCTTGTTCTTTACAAAATTATATACAACAGATTTTGTCTTATAAAATAACTGTAATATATATTTTTTTAATTAAAATATATTTCTTTTAATCCTGATAATTGGTGAAGTGTTACACAGTCTCAGTACAGATAATTACAATTTGGTAACGTGCTAATTGAATGTCAGTTAATATTAATTAATATTATTTGTTCTTTGTTTTAAGTGTGTTATATAATGACTGTGTTAAACTCAAAATGAATTTCAGAATTTGGCTTCTGGTCAAATAATGTCATACTCTATATTCATTGTAAAAATATGCAGATAGATTTGATAAAGCATATTTGAACACCTTGAAGAACTTTGTTTTATCTGAAGTACCAGTTATCTGTTCTAAATTGTCCCTAAAGACAAGAATACAATACAACAATTATATATTTGAGTTCTTACATTCTTACAAAGCCACTAGCACGCATAACGTTTCGGGCAGGTCCTTAATATAAAAATACCCCGGAATACGACCCTCTAAATCGTTTAGCAACCAGGTACGCGTTCACTGCTGGAGGAACAGCAGTAAATAGAAATTTATAGTTATCAGAAACTTAGAACGGAATCTTAGAAAAGTATCAGAAACCTAAAACAGCATTGAATGGAATTAGTTACCTTCTTCTACACAACCTGTTATCTGCTTCCTCTATACGGCCTGGTATTTTCTTCCTCTATACGACCTGTTATCATCTTCCTCTACACGGCCAGTTATTGTTCATGTGGTTTTTCGTTAGAGTTTACAAGCTCTCGCGTACTCCACTCTGTACCTCTATTAAAGTTATGAACATTAATCTTGTGAGTGACACTTGTCACCGTTTTCATTAATTTATCCTGTGATAATGCTTACTTTTACGGACTCCGTTACATTCAGCTGTGAATAAAGTTGCCCATTGCATTAATGGACCCATTAATACCATTTAATATTACTTTTTAGTTTATAGTTTCCCATTAATATCATATAACCCGTCATCAGTTACCCAAATGTATAACTTAAATACCGCCTCTATCTTTTACAATTGTTAATTTATCAATATTTGAATTATATTAAAATTTCTGTACCAAATGCTACCCCTTATGCCTTTCTTTGGGTCCAGAAACTTCACTATAGATCTTCACCAGCTGATGTGGATGATGAATACGCGTACTGCTATTGTTGGGCTTCTCTTATGTCGCCCTACTGTTCCATGACCCTCACCTACGGACCCCGCCATGGCGCATCCATCTCGTTACCCTGCAACCCCTGCCGTCACCCTACCGCCCCGGTGCAACCCCTACCAATCACCCTACCGGCTCGGCCCAGTCCCCTCTATTACCTTATCTCCCTCTCGTAATATCACTGTACCCATCACTGCACCGAGTACTCTGGATCTCCAATAACTGAAGTGTTCTCCTATGACCCAAACGCTCCCCAGGCCTGGACCAAGGTGGTTGGGTTGGGGGAATCAATAAGATCAAGGGTCCTTGCCTTTAGCTATTTTTACAGTTCTTGTTTCTTTGTTTTATTCTGTTGTGGTATTTTGTAAGTATATCACATACGCAACATGTAGATGTATATACCCATTCATCAATCGTAAATATTTACTTCTAATTACAAAAAAATACTCAATGAGCAGTTTGAAATTAGGGTCTACATAGCCCATGTGACCTGGGCCTATTATTTCGAAGCTTAACACAGCCCCTCAACGCACCCTTCCCGTTATTCTCCCTACTTCCCTCCCATCACCTCACCATCCCAGCCCTCCTGTTTCATTGACAATTGTGCACCACCACCCCGGCCCTCCCCCTCCAGCATGGACTGTAAGCCCTGCCGCTGCTGCACAGCCCCGACACTCAGTGTTGGTACGGACGTTTCTCCGTCAGGACGTGCGGGTGTGTGTGTGTGTCTCTCTTGCTCCCCCACATCTGCTTGCTTCTGTAACACTTGATAACCCAGATATAAATAAAAGCAGCGAGGATATACTTAACCTACAGCAAAAATTTCTCATGGAGTGTGAATTCGTGTGGTAATTTTAATGGAGGGGAAGATGATGATCTAAGGCTGGACTTTGGTGGATCTTCGTGTGGTGGGGAGGAGGGGCTGGCCAGGCTCGGCACCACCACTATGAGCACCATTATCCTCGCTTCCTTCAAGGATCGTTTCTGGGTGAGTACTGCAACTTTTTGCACCCGGAAACTTCCAGGTGACGTCCTTGATCACCAAGCTCGCGGGTCGGGCCAAAGTGGTCAATAGTGGCAGTTACATGGTGGATCAAGTGTGTCTGGGCTCTGTCCCTTGATCTTATTGATTATTATATACATACATGATTTATATACAGGAGTGAATAGACATATGAATTCGTTTTATCGGGACAGGCAGCCTGTGTATATTAAGCTTGGGCCCAATTCCTCCCCCCCCCACACACACACACACCCAAGGTCGAACTCTTGACCCTCCCCAGGATACAACCCTGCAACAGTTTACTAACTCCCGGGCACCTATTTACTGCATGGTAAACAGAGGCATTAGGGGAAAGGAAACGTGCCCAATCATTTCTGGCCCACCCGGGATCCTTGAGTGAGAGTCGAGATACAGCCAACTGTTACGTTTATGAGACCTTATATAAATTTGTCAATGACATTATAAAAGAGAGATCGCATACTTAATTCTGATGGATACATTAAGTGCTACGTGAAGCAACATTAGGCTTTCAAAATTGTGCAGATTCATTTCAATGTCGACGTGTTGGGTGATAAACCTATGAAAATAACTGGTATCAGATATAGACTAACAGTACTAAAGTTGTGAAAAAAAATCAGAGGTGTATAAGAGTCTGTACTTTCAGAAATCCATACAAAAATGTCCGAAATAAGGCCAAGATAGTACTAGGATTTCTATCTAGACGTAATAATGTCAAGTAGTAAAGCTCCAATGTTCTCCTTTGACATTATACTCTTGTCCCTGTAAGGCCCAACTTTAATTATAATGTGCAGTTTTGTGCATCGTGCTATGAAATGGATATAAAGTCCCTGAAAAGTGTGCAGAGAAGGATGACTAAATTAATTCCAGGCATTATGAAGAGTAAAAAAGCTAAATTTATATTGCCTAACAGGCGAAGAGTAAGGAGTGACACAATTAAAGTGTAGAGAGAAAAGTGTTTATCAAACGGGTATAAATAAATTAGGTTAAATGCACAATACACATACGAAATTGATTAAAATTGGTTTAGGTATATTTTTATAAAATAGGTAAACTCTGGTTCGTAAATAAGGTCGCTGGATGTGGGGAAAATGAAAGTTACCAAGTAGCACCTTAGAATCAATAATTAAGCTCACTGCAAGGTATCAAGTATCGGTTGGATAAACATACGAGTGGGAATGATTGGATATAAATTGGAGCTACCTTGTATGATTTCTTTATTCTTATGTTCTTTGTTGTCTTCTGCAATGATCCTGATGCCGACTTCAATGGCCTCGTTGTGGTGACGCATAGCAATCATAGCAATGGTGTTACATGACCAGTCTCCTGTCAGACTCTGGTGTTATTCGCCAGGTTTAAATGCTGTTCGGCATGTGCTAATAATGTTCAGCAGGTTATAATACTGTTCAACAAGTTCTAATGCTGTTCAGCAGGTTTTAATGTTGTTCAACAAGTTATGCTGCTCGATAGGTCTAATGCTGCACTAGTGCTTTTGTCCGCATGTTGTATAGCAAAGTTTAAGTTGTGACATTCTTTCATGCACACGATGAAGTGAGAACGGGCTGTAAAATTAAGTGTGCACGTGGAAAGCAACACCAGTGTGTAAATCTACGTGGGAAGTAACAACCACTGGGCTAACCACTAAGCATACAATTTGGCCACACAGCTCCCAGCTGGTGATAACAGTCCACAATGACAAAAGTCATGCCCGTCGCCCACACTGATGGCAGAGGCTACAATAGTGGAGGCGGTATTAGGATGTGATAACTAGTACGCGTCAATATGGCCTACGACGACAAAGCACGAGTGTTAAAAGTTATACTAGTACTTCGTTTAGGTCTGAAACCTATGTGTATATGGGGAGTATAA